TGGAATATATTCTTCATCGAGGAATCATCTCTTATAAAGTTCACAACATTCTTGGGCATCCTTATTACGTTTCGACCAATATCACACTGCCTTTTGAACTGTCGCGATTCGTTTTTCAACTGTTCATATCATTCTTGGCTGCTATATATATATATATATATATATATATATATATATATATATATATATATATATAACTGTTTTCCTTTCCCTAGTACCCATTTTTTTTTCTTTTTGCTCATCTAACTTTTTACGAGCACCCTTTTTACTCTTGCTGCCGGAAACGAAATACTTGCTGATTAAATTCGTGGTCCTTTTCTGTCTAATGTTCGCGAACTTTTTTTATTACGCTGGTACCTATCTATCGTTCATTGTATTTTCATCAGTGTTTTTCTAAAGTCCATTCCTCTCGAAGCCTCCGGCACTTTGGAAGACACATACGTCCTTGTATATTACTTCGTTTACTGACTTTCATTGTGCAATTAACGCCCCGCCACGGTGGTCTATAGTTGCTAAGGCACTCGGCTACTGAACCGCAGGTCACGGGAGCGAATCCCGGCTGCGGCGGCTGCATTTTCGATGGAGGCGAAAATGCTGTAGGCCCGTGTGCTCAGAATTGGGTGCGCGTTAAAGAACTCCTGGTGGTCAAAATTTTCGGAGTCCTCCACTACGGCGTCTCTCATAATCATATGGCGGTAATGGGACATCAAACCCCACATATCAATCAATCAAATCATGGTGCAAATATTGCGATTTTAGCTACCTTTTTTTAATAATTAGGAAATATTATTTTTATTTGAAAAAAAAAACGACAGCAAGGTTTGAAATCCCTCGCTGAGTACGAAGTGTGCAGGAAGAATAAAATGTCAATATATTCAAACATGAACGTTTGGATCAAGTCATTTTTTTATACTGTACAGAAACTGGCCCTTTGTGCACTTAAAGCTCTTGCTGTTAAAGTTTCTTGGTCGACTTACAAGTGAAGATGGAATAGATTCAAGCGTATGCTTTCAATTTGTTCACCGAACCCCTAATTTTATTCCCTCAGCATATTAGTATCTGTCATTTACGCTCATGCATCATCACTCATTGCTTTCAGTTAAAAGTTTTAATCAGTGAAAGGAAGAAATTGAAACATATATAATTAGCCTTGAAGCACTCGAGCAACTTCCACCATTTCACAGGGCGAAGCCACGACGGGGCATTCACTTGAGAAGAAAAAAAATCAAGGACAAAAAAAAACATCCTCAAAACCTACAAATGAAACCAGGAGGCGTGCGATATACATACATCACGTGAGCTTCCGCGACGAGCAGCAAACTACGAAATCCGCCAAAACGAATGATTAAAGCCTAACACCCGTCCGCGGCATGCGCGCTTGTACTGTTTTTTGGGGGGTTACAGCGCAGCTGAAACATGCAGTATATACTTTGCTTCTGCTGATAATGAATGGCGCGTCAGCCAAAGAGGCATTTTTCTTCTGTTATCAAACACCGCGTACACGGTCTGTGCGTCCCGCACCACGGATTGGCTTCTTTGTGCCGCCATATTTCCGCACACGTGTGCGCGTGGCGACCTGTCGTCGTCGCGCTGGTGTTTTCGTAACCTGAAAGGCGTCTGGCTCCCCTGCTCCAATCTCGACCGGAGACAAGGGGCTCCTTGTGGCCACACTTTTAATTCCTCGGCCCCACATCTGGCTGACAGCCAGTTTGTGGTGTGCTTCGTACGGCGCCGCCTCCACCACAACGGCCGCCGCTTGGACATGGTTGAGTCGCTTTCTGGTCTCGTTCTCGATTCGCTCGCGAATGTTTCTCTCCAGAGCTTCTCCGTTTCTCAGGTCATCGTCCGGCAACCTTGTTGGCGGAAGGCATCGCTCCAAAACTATGCGCTCCCTGCGCATGGCCGCGTGTGGGAAAGGGGACCCCCGAAGTTGGTTGGCGGCGCGTGGCCTCCGCAGCAGTCCACCGCAGCGCAATCCTGAGTTGCATGCGTGCGGTTATGCTCTTCTTAAGTCCTTACAGCGAGATTGCTAACGGCGATAAGGATTGCCCACTTTGCGCGACTAGACCGCACGTTCCCCTCCCTCGCGCGAATTGTTTCCTTCTGGATCTCGATTCGCACAATGCGGAGCGGGTGCAATTTATCCTGCGCGGAGTGATTACTCGGCCGCATCGTCCCTCCTCTGCCGCAGTCGGCCTGCTTCAATCAGTCATTTCATCGGCCCGATAGAATCGCCGCTCTGTCGTCTAATTGGCCCACAGGGGGGCAGTTCCACTCTGAACGAGCACAAGATGGCGCTATTAATAAAGGGGGCGCTTGGGGCGACTCACTTGATACTAATTGCGACTAACAGCCCTACTATCGCTTACTATCGTCTCTTAGCTTCTTCCACGGCAAAGCCACATAAAGAGGGGAAAGAAACTGAATTCGGGTGGAAAGAAACAACAAAAAAAATGACCTCGTGATTTTTGTGCCCTATGAGTTCCAGTTAGTCTTGATGCCTTGATGCTTGGGGTGGAGTAGAGGGGAATTTACGCCTTTGCTTATGGCCAGACGTTCTGAATGGTTCCGGATCCTCTGTCCCTTTTCTGAGTACATGGTGCAGCGAGCTCCAATGGGATGCCGCGGCCGCCTAAGTACTTTCCATTTCCTCTATACGCTGGCCCTGCACTCGTGTTCCGAAAAATTCGTCTAGATGCTTCAGGAAGTAGAGAAGGAAAAATGATGCGGCTTCAGCTCTCACCACCAGCTGCCGATTGATTCAGCTCGCTTTACAGCACCAGCTCCCGCAGGAAGGGGTCTTTGCTGAGTTGCAGGCGTTTTTCACAATACTTCATTCCACTCTTTTGAAGTAGAAGATAATGCTTAAGAAGGGGTGTACTTTGGCCACACATGTAATGTTTTTGTCTCTGGAAGAAGTTAGGCGTAAAGGAAAAAAAAATCGCACGCTCTTTTTTTTTTCAGGCTAAATTCTACTGTTATGATCTCACATAACCTTGTTTTGGGTTTATTACTGATTCACTGATGCAAAATTATATTGTCTAACAGCATCGATATCCTTATATAGCCCTTCATTTAATATTACCCTTATATCACACTTCAGTCACGTGCCCCCATGGGATAGAATATAAGCAGCCAAGTCGTCGTCCCTTGCGGAAGCGTTGCCTTTCTGCCACCGGAAATGCGGAGTTTCTTTTTCCAGTCAATTGTTTTTGGTTAGTTTTTTTTGGCACCCCGCCGACTAATACATAGTCAGTCTGGTACCATGCCTCCCCCTTTTCATATTTTTATATAATACCGCGGAAGTCTATTTCATCATCATCATCATCATCATCATCATCATCATCATCATCATCATCATCATCATCCTGACTACGTCCACTGCTGGACAAAGGCCTCTCCCATGTTCCTCCACTCAACTCGGCCCTGTGCTTGCTGCTGCCATTTTATACCCATAAACTTCTTAACCTCATCTGCCCACCTAACTTTCTCTCTCCCCCTAACCCGCTTGCCGTCTCTGGGAATCCAGTCAGTTACCCTTAATGACCAACGGTTATCCTGCCTACGCGGTACATGCCCTGCCCATGTCCATTTCCTCTTCTTGATTTTGACTATGATATCCTTAACCCCGGTTTGTTCCCTGATCCACTCTGCGCTCTTCTTATCTCTTAAGGTTACACCTACCATTTTCCTTTTCATTGCTTGCTGCGTCGTCCTCAATTTAAGCTGAACCCTCTTTGTAAGTCTCCAGGTCTCTGCTTCGTGGCTAAGTATGGGCAAGATGCAGCTGTTATATGCCTTCCCGTTGAGGGATAGGGGCAATCTACTTGTCAAGATTTCAGAGTGCTTGCCAAATGTGTTCCACCTCATTCTTATTCTTATAGTTACTTCAATCTCGTGGTTCTGCTCCGCGGTTATTACATGTCCTAAGTAGACATTGTCTTTTACAACTTCTAGTGCGTTATTATATATCTCGAAGCGCTGTTCTCTTCTTGGGTTCTTTTACATTACTTTCGTTTTCTGCAGATTAATATTAAGACCTACCTTTCTGCTCTCCTTGTCTAACTCCGTAATCATGAGTTGCAAGTCGTCTCCTGAGTTACTCAGCAATGCAATGTCATCGGCGAAGCGCCGGTTACTAGAGTATATTCTCCATTAACTCTTCCCATTCTAGGCCTCTGAAAACCTCCTGTAAGCACGAGGTAAATAGAATTGGGGATATTGTGTCCGCCTGCCTTACACCCTGCTTGATTGCTATTTCGTTTCTTTCTTTATGAAGCCCTATAGTGACAGTTGATCCCGTGTGCGTAGATTTCTTCCAGGATGTTTATATATGCTTCGTTGACGGCTGTGGAAGTTTATATTTAGGGTTATTTAAATGATGACAAAGTTGCGAAAACTAGGAATAATATGTGGGGTTTTACGTCCCAAAACCAAGATGTGATCAAAAGATGCCTTAGTGGAGGGCTCGGAAATTTTGACCATCTGATGTCCTTTACCGTGCACTGACATCGCACACTACTCGGGCCTTTGCCATTTCGCCTCCATAAAAATGCGACTGGCACGGCCGGGATCAAACCGATGACCTTTAGGTCAGCAGCCGAGCATCCTAGCCACTGTTTCGTAGAGACGAAAAAAAACACGAATAATATCCGTCTCTAAAACAGCCCATTCTGATGGAATTGTTTGTCTGCTAGAAGCTTCAACATGCAGAGGAGTGCGTACTGCAGCTTTCTTTTTTGTTCTCTGAAGCAGCATCGCTGACAAGATCTCAGTCGAAGCATGGACACTCTAGTAGGGCACGAGGAGGGAATGTGTCAGTGATGGCATGACTTCTCATACCAGAACAAAAAACTACATAAGTGAAGCGCCAAGAAAGCTCCGATAACAGATGAAAATAACTGTAAATAAAAAGGTTGTGGGCCCGCCATGTATATTCACGTGATGCCTCATTGAAAGTGCATGCGCTTGTTGTTAACAAACGCTCTTTTTCTTTGCAGGTGCACGAGATGAAAGGAAAGGCAACGTGCTCCGCTAGCTCGAATATATTGGCAAGTACTTCGCTTTTTTTTTAATGTAAAGGTGGATAATTCACCGACGTGTTGAGTACACCGAAAATTGTTCACTTATGCCTTCGTAAACATTGCATGCATACCCCATGAGATTCCCTGGCCACTAAGCCCTGAAGACGACCTCTGCAGATCTCAGTGACTATCTTTAAAGGGAAACTAAAGAGCGTAACGAATTTTTACGTGTTACACAACTCTTACCGTAACACGGTGTTTGGCAAGCAAAAAGAAGAAAAAATCGCGCGAAAAGGAAATGTGAGTGCAGTCGCCACGTTGAGATTATTGCACAAAATACCGGGGCGTCATAGACATTTACACTGTTTATTGGGCCCTACGTAATTTCTACTCGATATAATTGAAAATTATTGTGATTTGCGGGTGCCATATATAGCATACGAAGTTTCAGAAAATTTCATTGAACCAGTGTCGCGAAAATGGCAAAAATGCATTTTGAAAGTTTTGATGTCAGGCGCTGAGGTTTTGGCGCAAAATTTAAGAAAGAAACTTCAGCCTTGATTTTTTTCCGCAAATAGTGAACTTATGATGATGAAATATTTGGCATTAGAGTTCTCAGAGTTCTGTCATTCTAAACGAATGCATTCTCTTTAGTGTCTCTTTAATATCGAAACGCATTCTCCGGCGAATGGGCACTCTTCGCGTTCCCTATACCTTCCTTCATTTATATCCCCCATTAAGTTCCCCCCTGTGTGGGATAGCAGACTGTGCGCGAGCCTGGTCGACCTCCCGGCCTTTTTCTTTTCCTTGTTTTTCTTTCTTTCTTTTCGGGGTGCCCTAAACTCTTCCAGCTTGATTCAGGAAGAAAGGAGCCGATAAAAAAAGTCGCATAGCTCCAACGGCGAGCGTCCCTGTCTTTGATCGGTTAGCTTTCATTTAAAAAAAATAAAAGAAAGAAAAATAGAACGGCTTCAGGTGGGGCATTTGCCAATTGCAATCCGTCTGAAGCGTGTGCTCGCTTTTTCTGCATGCACGAGGGGTTGCAGAACGCACTGGCGTTTGGCCCCACTTCTTTCGCGCGGTTATCGGGGTCGCCAACGAGGACCTCCGGAGCACTGGATCGAAAGGACGAACATTCATCTTCCACAGCAAAGCTGGCGGGGAAAGCCAGAAGAAACAAAAGTCGAAGAGGAAATAATGGTCCGTATCTCACAAAGGTTCGGAACAACCGAGGACTGCAAGAAGGCAGAAAAAAAAAAAAAAGGCGATGAGGAGAGACTGCGAGGGAGAGAGAGGCTGCAAGGGGGGCGGCTGGCGGCTGAAAACAAGAAACGTGGGAGGAGACGCGCAAGATAGCTGTCCTCACTCGCGCGCTGTGTTTTGGCGGACATGATGGCAGGGTCATCCGCGGTCGGAACGTCCCCGTTTTCCCGGGGGCCGTGTTTCAATCAGTCTTGCCGGCGACGACATTGAACCTCGCGCGGGTGTGTGTTGATGGCGGAGTGGCTTGGAGCTCTCGCCGAATGTGCTGCGATGCGTGCCATGGTAAGTGGGAGGGGGGGGGGGGCTGAAGAGACGCATGGCGGGACCTCTGTTCGCGCCTACGCCCAGCCGCTGACAAGCAGTGCTGCTGACTATTGGCTTGCAGTGGCCGGACACGTTCTCTCTACAAGGAATGTTCAAAATGTCACGCGCTACCTATCGACTCGAAGATAGGGGCTATATGCCAGCTTGTCGAAAGCGCCGCGAAACGAAGTGAACGTTCTTAAAAAGGCGTATTTGGGGTGTATTTTTGTCCCCACCCCTCGCGGTGCTCTAGCAGAGGTCACGGGATCGAATCCCGGCTGACGCGACCGCATTCCGATGGCGGCGGAATGCTACAGAGATCCATGTACGTAGCTTCAGATGCTCGTTAAAGAACACCGGGTGGTCAAAATTTCAGGAGCCCTCCACTACGGCTTCTCTAATAATCGTATCGTGCTTTTGGGACGTTATACCTCGACAATTATTATTATTTCGGTGCCCAAACATAATTCGTCGTTTTTCTCACGTCTCTACTCTTACTCTATCACCGAGCGCCCGCTGTATGCGCACTATCAGCCTGACGTATACCTTCTTTGAGAGTTAAAGAGTGAGTGCCAATTTTTCAAGTAAAAAAAACGCAGACAAGCTAGATGCCGATAGTTGTGATGGAACATAAAAGTGGGGGGGTTGCAAAGGAGGCAAACTGATTAAATTTTTTTCGAGTGAACTAGCTGGCAGTTCGAGTGCAAGCTCACAGCGGCCTGCTTTCACTTTTGTTACGTGGTGTCCTGGTGCTTGTGTTTGTTACTATGTGCCCACTTCAAAGTGACGGGTTCGTGACAAAGACCACTACAGACTAGAACGTTTCTCTCTCTTTTTTTCTTCTTTTTCTGCGATAGGCATATATAAAATGATATTGGCTGGATTACCCTCAGATATAATGCAACACTAACAATCCCATATTACCTCCTTGCTAGAAAAAGATATAGCTTCAATTTTTTTTATATAAGACGCATTTTATTGAGTGTACAATGAATATCACAGATTTTGGGTGCATTTTGTTGCAGGCTCACAGTATGAGAAGCTCTGAGTAGTTATTGGAAGTAGTTGTATGCATCTCGTGTTTTAAACACACATTTCTGCTCGTCACAAGCCTCGCCTGAAAAGCAACACGCCTATTGAGAATTCCGTCCGGACAGACAGCCAGCAGTACAAAAACATGCGGGTGTGGCTTTGCTGATTGGCGAAAGAACAGCTAAGTCTGATATTCATTAACTGACAGTACGTTCATACAGTTTTTTTAAAGGCGATTTTGGCATGTCCCCTTGCTGTTCTTAGCAGCGTTTATGCAAATGCAATGAACGAAGTGCCCTCGCATCGTCATTCATCGTCGCGGTTACGGAGCCCTTTAGCATTGTTGTCACGTCGCGACGACGTTGCCGTTGTCGCCGTAACGCTGCCGCGAACTGTATTGCACAAACGCGAATTGTTTGCCTTTCATTCATGAATGAACTGCAGGCGCGCGAAGTCGACTCCCTTTTAGGGGCGAAGCTCCTTAGGGCGTGGGATGTGCGTCCCCTGTAGCCTGTATGTAGCCACCTCTAGTTTAGTTCTTGCAGTGTTCACTAGATGGCGGTACCGTCCCCTGTATGTAGCCACCTCTAGTTTAGTTCTTGCAGTGTTCACTAGATGGCGGTACCGTCTCCTGTATGGAGCCACCTCTCGTTTAGTTCTTGTAGTGTTTACTAGATGGTGGTACTTGTAGCTGATGATGAAAAGATGCAAGATGTTATAAACTAGAAAGCGGTACTTGTAGTTGATGAAAGACGCGAGATCTTATAAAATAGGAATGATGTCACATATGGCGCGTGTCATTGGTTGAAGGCAATCGTTCGATTTAGTGCGGCGACGTACGCTAGGGGGAGCGATGTAATAAAATCGAGTGGGCAAAATGTACAGAGGATTCATGGTTTACCAGGTTTACCTCCGGAGCTTCGCCCACTCATCATCATTCACTTCGTGGATATGGCGGAATTTTTTTGGCTTGAGTTTGAATGGAACGAGCACGAACAATTATACCTAGCTTTTACATGTATTTCTACATCTATCTATCTATCTATCTATCTATCTATCTATCTATCTATCTATCTATCTATCTATCTAATTGCCTACGACCTTTAGCTCTCCTGGCCGTTTCGATGATTTGATATATCAAAACTGGTATGACGTATGAAATGACTGTATGACGGGTAGAAGTGACTAGTCATAACCTGAAAATCATGACATCTCATGCATGTCATAGTTTACATTTCATGAGTTTGCGGCTCATGCGATGGTTTCGTTCACATGACATATTGCAAAACTGGTATGTGACATGACTGCATAACGAACACAAGTGACAGACGCTAACGTATAAATCATGACATGCGTGTCATGTGAGTCATGACTACACGCCACGCTCACGGTGCACTCGCGATTGTTTCGCTAGCTCCACATATACCAAATTTGGTGTTCCGTGATGTGAATGGACGATGAAAGTAAATGAGACGTCCAAGCATAATAATCATGGCATGCGTGTCATGCAAATCACGACTACATGCTACGCTCATACGTGCTCGAGGCCGTTTTGCTAGCTCCTAATATACTAAATTTGGTATCACGTGACGTGTATAAACGACGAAGGTAAATGGAATGTCCAAACATGATAATCATTAAATGGAAGATAAGTTACGTCCGCCTCGTAACGTTGTGCTGATTTTAAAGTGACGTATCAAGCTTCCTCAATCGTGGTTCGCTTATCATCGATTCCCACTGTAAGTGGGAAGTGGGATCTGCCAATTTTTGTATAATTTCAATTTATGGTATATTACTAAAGCCGCAAAACATGACAGAAGACAGCCCAGTAAACGCACACGCACACACACACACACACACACGCACACACACACACACACACACACACACACACACACACATACACACACACACCACACACACACACACCACACACACACACACACACACACACACACACACACACACACACACACACACACACACACACACCACACACACACACCACACACACACACTTAGAATGCTCACGTCGTATCGTAACCAGACATATTACGCGCTTCTTTCGAAGACCGCGGCTCCCACGTTCCCGTTTCCTGAAACGACCTCACGCGCTCGTGTTTTTTTTTCCACGTGTGCATATGAAGCAGCTTTCGTTGAAAGGGCCACCTTTACGAGGGGCTGCACGAGCGCGAACAACGAGCTTTTTTCTTGCGGACGGCCTCATTGTGTGTTCTTTCGGGTGTGTCCGGCCAGTTACAAAGGAAGCCACGGCAAACTCGTGCGCTCTTCCTTGTTCCAGTCCGTTACTGATGTCCATTTGAAAGATCGTTATGCGCTTATGCCGTAACCGAACACAACGGCGTTCACTTGATCTCCACGCCAATGATCTCTGAAGGGCGCTATAGTTTACTTCACTCTGTACTCGC